TAAAGAAATTCATGAAAATCAGCATATCGTTCAGAATCACTTCTCTAACAAGAAAAACATTCCAATAGCCAAGTTTTCGTAAAGTCTGTAATTGTTTTTTTGCTAATTACCAAATATTCGCATTTGAGAAATTGTCATTTCATTTCGGAATTAACTAGAAGATCAATCAGTAATAAAAAAAAACTCGCTGATTTTGAATCAGTATGTGTCATATTTAGACGGCGTATAAACGTATTTAGAAAATGGATTGTGAAAAGTGATTTCAGTGGATGAATCAATTTGCAGCATGAATATTTAGTAGTGAGCATCAAAGATGATCTAGTCAATAATATCGATATTTTTTTACGAGCCTCACGCATTGAATAACTTTTATTGACTTTTCATTCATTTCTCATTCAACAATCAGAAGTTTTCGATTTGATTCAAGTGTGAATGTTAATAAAGAAAAGTCCCACGTCCATATTCACACCCATAAAATTTCTTGATGGACTTTTGGAATATCCGATATATTTTGTTTTTCTATTTATTTTTGAAAATAAATCATTTTAAAATTGATTGGTATGAATGACTCATTAGGAAAATTTCCATGTAAATTAATAATTTACTTCATCAGGATTTTCAAATTTGACATTGGTTTAAGCTTACAATAGCTTCATGGTTTAAGAAACACTTTCCCAAGTGAAACAAACTTGATCATACACAAATATATACAAAGTGGCTGGATATGAGTGTAAGTCTGTGGACGTCGATTTGGATCCTGAATCTGTGAGGCTCGAGTGAGTATTCGCTTCTCCTGCGCCGACATCTACAATTTCACACTGACATCGGTACTATCACTCACACCACTAGTTTTTGAGAACTTGTCGAGTTTTACTGGAAAGAAGTTACTAGAAAAATCCTACATTAACCTTATCTGCATGTATTTTTTTTAAATATGTTGATCGTTTTAAAAGGTTTTTATTTCGTTTTCCTTTGAAAAATGTAGTTAGTGATCAAAAGAATTTCTTTTTAGATTTGATTGATTAAAATTCTTATAATAGATTTCATGAATAGAAATGTAAAAACAGTACAATAAATATATTTTCAAGCATAACATAAGAATACAATCATAGTAAAGTTCAAATCATTTCTAAGAAAAAAATTATGCTTTATAAGTTATTCCTAAATATGGGGTGTGGGCGGGTTGGGTGAATTCGAAATGGATAGACACCCACACTCACATACACCCTACTGAAAAATTTTTCATGAATACATGTAAGTGTTTCTTATATCGTTAAGCACCAGGTACACACTAAGAATAGAAAGGTTGATTCAAGAAAAATTAATTAAGAATTAAATTATATAACTTGAGAGGCTCAATAAGGATATTACACCGTAGTAGATAAATTTATTCTGATTGTTAATTGATGAAAATATGCTAATGATGGATTTAGAAAGAATGCAATCACCTCATCGCATCCACTTCGAATTCGTCTTAAAATGCTTGTTTTATCTATGAGATTCGTGGCTGGCAGATGCATTATCTGACATAATATATCGTTCACTGCAGTAGCGGATTTAGGGGATACTCGCCCCCATTCGAAAAAAAAAATTTTCGAATTTTTTCAGTAGAAAAGTGTTAAAAATAGAGCTTTTACTACTACTCAAACTTTAAAATTCACTTTTTGATGAAAGTCGCCCCATATCTAACGAATCGTCCCCTATAAAAAAAATCCTAGATTCGCCGCTGATTCACCAGTACACTAATAAAAGGATAAAAAACTTGTTAGTGTGATCCTTTTGGAGTCAAGATGTCGAATACACGAAAATTGTACATGTTTAACCCATATCTACAACAAAAATAATATAATATGTAGTTATAGTCAAGTGATAAAGTAGTGTTTGAACACAATTGATGGTAGAAAGTTTTTGATGCATAGAATAAAATTGCCATTCTTTTTCCTTTTTTATTTTCTTTAAGTTAAAATTTTAGTATATGCACTTCTCTACGAAGATCTTTTCATATTTATTCAACGTTTCAGTGAATCACAGCTACATTTCCACTATCTTCTACTACAATTTGTTCGATAGATTTATCTTGAATCTTATTCTCGCAATTTAAGAACAATTTCTATAGTTGAATAAACAGTATTTACTTGCAGCAAAAGGATATTCAATTTTAATAAATTATTTATTGATAAATAAAATAAAAATAACTTCGATACGACATATCTATAGCAGAACAAGAAGGAAAGAAAAAAAAATTTATATACATATATTCATTATATTTATCTGATTCACACTATAACAGTTTATTGCTTTGTCTCTCTCTTTAATAAATCGATTTGGATACTTCCATTGAAGTTCTGCTGTTTTTGCGCTCACTAATTCTTTCTCTCTTCTATTTAATATATAAATCGAGTGCAGAAAAGAATATGAATCATATCGGTTACTTCTTTTTCTTATTCTTCTTGTTATTATTTTTAGTTTTTAACTTACGATTAAATAAAATTCGATATTATCAATATGCAACACACACAGAAAACTGAAAAAGTTGGTATGATAATTTTACCTTCGATACTTGGTTCAAAATCATCATCAGTTACTGAAGATCCTCAAATACAACGAACTCGAAAAATTCTTTTAATTATACTTGGCGTCTGTTTTGTAAGTTTTTATTTTTATTTTCATTCTGATTAGATAATCATTATTTCTATTTGATATCAATATCAATTAGATAATGTATATATATATATGAGTGAATTGCAACTTTTTGGTACCATTGATCTTTTAACTGTATTTCGCTAATAACTTCTGTTTTGCTCAATCGATTCAGACAATTTTTTTTTACACATTATTGCTATTCATATGTTAATCACATGTGAGAAAAAAAAAGAAATTTTCGATCATAGAAAAAACATACAACTAGACCGTTTTGTACAATCTCCGATGCTATATCAACATATATCATCGATTTTTATTTTATATTCTTTTCTTTCCTTCGTCCAACGTACTTCTTTTTTTTGTAGAGTGACGAAAACATGCTTTGCAAAGTTCTTGATTCGAAGACTACACACATAGAAAGACAACTTATTAAGACACAAAATGAGCGAAAAAAACTTTATCTTTCTCCATAAAACTAGAAAAAAAATTTTGAGAACAAGATGATTTCACTCAGTTTGTAGAGTGATGATTTCAATTTTAATTCGTTTAATTTGACTCAAACTTTGAAGGTTTATGTAAAGTAAAAATTTCAGCTTTCAATCTGCTTCCGTTGGGAAGAAACCTACGATAAGAGTGACGATTTTCATGTAAATAGTCTGTTCGGGTAGAAATGAACTCAATAGAGTACAGCAAGCAAATCTGTATACTATGAGATATTTTTCTCTGCGTGAAGGACATTTCATAACGGAACTGAACTACATCTTGCTTAATACTTGATAAAGTGTTAGGAAAATTTTGCTATATACTATAGGCATAGAGCATAATAAAATACACTACTTAAAAGTTGTTTAGATTAACTTTTATTTATTTTTTAATTTTTTATGTGAATTGTACCAAAAAGTTGCAATTCACTACGTTATCTCAACAATAAAAAATTCATTTCTATCTATCAATATATATATATGAAATAATTTAATATTTTTTTAGAATTTAATTATAGTTGAATAATCTTGTTTAAAAAATTTTGGTTACTCATTTCTCTTCTTTTTCCTTTTTATTGTGAACACTATTTTGCTTTTGTTTGTCACATTGAGAAAACTTTAGTTCTATAAAAATACTAAATGAAACTATGTTAGATAGAAAAAAAAGAATTTGATAAAATTCAATATGGATAGTAGAGATAATAATGACTTTAATAGATTCTTGAAAATCTAATAGACTATTTTATGTGAACAGAAGGTTAGAAGAAGCTAACTCTATTTTTATTAGATAGATCGTGATTACTATTATTAAGAGACATGTTTCAAAAACTTCTGTTCTTAGATAAATCTCTTTGTTTTTTCTAAAATTGTTAATATCTATTGCAAATTTATGCAACTTTGATATTGATTTTTTTTATGGAAGAAAAATTCAATATCGTACTTTAAATGAAACATTTTGAATTTCGTTTTACACACAAATTGTTGAAAAACTTGAACTTGAATACTGTCAATTTACTCTTAGCAGAAAGAATATCAGAAAAACTTTACTGAATTTCTTATTCTAAATTAATCAGATATCTGGATCTGGAAAGATTATTTAAAAAAAAAATTTTTGGAATATATACCGACATAATTTTAAGAAAGTGAGTCTCGATAAAGAAAGATTTTCTTAAGCTGAAATTTTTTCTAAGTAGTTTTGCAGCAATTACACAGTACAGAAGTCATTTTAGCTGACAAGCACATGTCTTTATTTACACATACGATGTGTTTAAAATCTAACAGCCTGCTTTTGTCAAGGTTAAATTAAAAAAGTCGAATAAATTTTGCTACTAGAATATGAAAAGAAATCGGTCAAACATGTATTTTGAAATTAGAAACCAAGCTCTATTGAACAAATATAAAAAAAAGAATTATCTTTTTATCATCTTCCATTCGAATCGAACAGTCTAACATTTTTTTCGGGAAATTTTTGCAAATATCCTTTATAACAAATAGGGATTAATAAAGAATTAATTGTTGTAATTTTGGAGTTATTCGTTTGCGTTGAGTACTTTTTTTTAATTTTTCCATTGATCCTCTTTATTCACCTCAATGGAAGACGAGAAAGAAATAAAAGAAAAAAACACATTCTTAAAATAATCAATATGATGTAGTTTTATTAACGATCAATATTTGTCTTATTTGAAATTTTAATATAATATGTTATGTAAACAAGAGATTTATTTTGAATAAATACATCTACCGACATAATTATGAACATGAATTTATTCAATAAAAATCAAATGATAATTTGTAATATTTATTATTCTTAGAAATATTGTTAAAATTGATTGATAGAAATTTTTAATGATCTATTTTGTCTCTTAGAATTCTATATCATATTTAAGGTTTTTTCTGTACTCAGTACAATAACTGTCATATCTGGAACTGCAGTTCCTAATCGTATGCAAGAAGCTCAACGTGGTGCACAAATTGGTCAATGTATTACATCAGTTCTTTTGTACGGACTTGGATTATGAGTTGCTTATCGATATGATCAAACAGGTTTACGTATAGTATGTTTTTACTTTTAATATATATTTTATTCTTATCATATAAATGATTTTATTATAACTCTATAAAACATATTTGATTTGATTTTAAAAGATTTTTCGAAGAAAAATTTTCATAAATAATAAGTTGAATACTATTCTCTAAGAAAATAATTTATTTCGATAAATCTTCATCGAAGAAATATATTATTGAAAAAATAGATGTTCATTTAAAATATTCGTTTTAGTCTTTCTATAAGAAAATAAAATATTTTCAAGTATTATTGAGATAATTCGATGTTTTTTTTTCTCTTAAATTATTCATACTCATAAACAATTGATCGAAACTATTGAGTTAGACAATCTAGTTCAAATGATGTTTCATAATAAAAAGGTTAATAGACAATAAAATTATTTTGTTAATATTACTTTATGATAGATCTTCACTAAACTCAATACTTTTCATTTGTTTTACGTTGAAAATATCAATAAAATGAATGAATATCGAGTTGATAGATTCGTGAGAAAAAAAAACTATAAAAATCAATTGTTGATAAATATCTTTGTTAGAAAATCTTATAGATAGAGATTTATTTTTGAACATTTCTCGAAATGAATTAAAATAAAATATTAAATAAATAGTTTATCAATAAAATACTTTAAACAAAACTAATATATTTATATTTAATTCCTGTAGTTTGCTTGGATTGGCATAATAGCAATGATTGTATTTAGTATTGGAATTATTATTGCTATTACCTTTATTATTCGTATCTTAGTTTCTTCTCGAACAGACGATAAAATTAATTATGATGAAGAGAAGAGTCTCAAGGTTTGTCTTTCAATAGGTATTGTCGTTGCTGTTATTGTTTGTATTGCTTATTACATACTTACAGTAATTATATTATATCATTCATTTATATATATATATTATAGTTATATGAATTTTTAGATAATCATTATAAGATTGTCCTTCAAATTGGCTAAACAAATGGGATCAAAAAAGTCTTTAGTCACACCACAAATCTAACATTTATTATTATCATGTGAACTTAGATTTAATTTATTTTTGTTTTTTGTTGTTTGTCATTTATCATGTTTTTCTTCTTTTGAAAGAACTCTAGAAATAAATATTAAAGATCATTTCTTAATCGACACACATGTTTCATTGAAAAGAAAAATTATTTATATCTCGAAGATAAATTTTAATCGATTATACTTATTAAATAGAATAAACATAGATGAAACTATCTTTAAATATAATTAAATTAATCAATATCATTTATAAGAAAGAATGGACATGGATGTTGGTGCAGGTACAGGGATAAAGAAAGTCATCCCTAGTACCTATACTCTAAATTATACAATTAAAATATTGTAATATGAATATGTCAAGTCTTGTTTTGACTGAATCGAATAAGGAACTATTAATTCTTATATAGGACTAAAGCCCTATCAAATGCTTAATTTCACAATCATTTTTCCTTGTCAACTTACACCAAAACAGGATCGGACATGGATACGATCCATTACTCGATTTATGACTAAAAATGAGTAACTTTGTAAATAGCGCTTTGCTTTCAAACTTCGATCGACATCCTATGAAAATGTTAATTTTAACATGCTCTATTGAATTATATATGATTCAATAGGGTTACTTTGAAGAATCCTGATGAATCGATTTCGCCTCCTATGCATCCCGTCCTTTAATAATCTAGTCCAATCACAGAACAGATTTTCTTTATTGAATGTATATATGAATCATTTTTATTTATTTGAAGAAAACAAAAAATCGATACAGTTGATTTATTCTTAGAATGAATTCTCGATTTGAATTATTTTCAACGAAAATTTTATATGAAATATTTGATTATTTATCAACTTATGATGTATTTCATGCTTTTATTAATCTCAATTATCGTTTAAATTATAGTATTAATATATATCCATTAAAAGTTGATTTACGAAATATTTCTCGATTAAAATTTGATTATATTTGTTATTATCTTCGACCTGAACAAGTCATATCACTTATATTCTCGGACGATAATATGAGTGACCAAGTTATTGTTTTTCAACGATATTTTCTATATTTTAAATATCAATTTATTAATCTTCGTTGTATAAAATTTATTCGAACAGATGATATTCTATTTGATTTACCATATTCAGTTTCAGCTCTTACATTCCAAGGTTGCATGTATGTTAGTCAACGTATTGTTGAAACTATTGTAAAACAAGCCAAATCTTTAACTTATTTGAAAGTTGATTGTATTCATTTATTGCAATCAATTGATATTACATTTCCTTCTCTCACTTATTTACATATTTGTGATGTTGGAATGAAAATTTTCTGTTGTTTTTTAAAAGAAAATGAATCATCTTTCAACGATTATCATTTATCAATTAAAAATCTTCGTTCACCAATCCAACATTTAAAACTTTCTATTGAAAATAAAAATTTTATAGACTATAATTCAATATTTAATTTTGATTATTTATCTCATTGTCTGACAAATCTTACATTGATTTGTTTAATAAATAAAACTTTTTCATTTGAATTCATTCAACATTATCTTATTCAATTATTAAATTTAAAATCTTTAACAATTATTATCAAATTAGATTTAATTGATGGTAAACAATGGGAAGAATTTATTCGAAAAACAAAAATTATTAAATTTAATTTTCAATTTATACTATCCGAAAGTATTACATTTACTCAAAATAAATCTATATTACTTGATTCATTTCGATCAGTATTTTGGCTTAAAGAAAAATATTGGTATGTTGCATGTAATAAACATCGTTCGAATCAAAATACACAAATATATGTCTATTCTATACCTAAATTTCTACCGACATGTATTAATTATACTAAAGATTATTATCCACCTTTATCAACAGTACCATCAAATGATGAACAACGAATATTTTACTCGAAATATATTGAACATTTATGCTTGGATTTTAATAAATCCATTGATGATCTACCACGAAATTACCGTTTTAGTCACGTAAATTCACTTAATCTTATTGGTTCAACATTACCATCAATAGATAATATTATGTCTATTGTTGATCTTAATCAAATAAAAGAACTTGATATATCACATATTAAGAATATATCAATTGGTGAAATTCATTTATTACTTGAACATATTCCTAATTTAAATCATCTGATATTTAAAAATTTTATACCATTATTTAAACCACCTTCACATATTTATTCATTTACAATTGAAAAATGGAAACTTTCGGATGACTTGAATTTATTTTGTCGTATGTTTCCACATGTTAAATCTTTAAAAATATATATAAATTCACTTGAAATGATGATTGAATTAATTAATCGATTGAAATATCTTGAAAGTATTCTTGTTTGGTACAATTTTGAAAAACATGTACCTTTCATTTCAATGAATTGGTTACGACGAAATATACCACGTCTACGACGAAAGAAATTTACATGTAAAGAAGATGATTATTATATGATCATATCTATTGGAAATAATCGAAAAAAAAAACTCTCAAGTTTTTGATCAAATTTTAATATAACATGTTTCTTGTTGTATAAGAATTATCTAAAATAAATTTTCGAATGTTGTCGTTTGAATGATGCAACTTACGTTATCTTTCAAAAGTTAATTTTAGTTTATCTCATGTAATGTTTTCGAATTATGAATAACGATGCATCAGATGTGATTTTTATAAAATCTGATGAATATAAGAGAAATGTATTATAACGGGTGAGTCATAATAAATGAGTCTTTCAGTATTTTATTTATGTGGAAAGTTAAGGAAAAAAATTAAATAAAGATTATCCAACTAACTTTCAAAGCTAACGGGTGTCTCATGAATAACTTGTGTTTATATCTCTTACTTCTATCATCTAGTAGGTTTATTTTAAAATCATCAGATGCAGCGTGAAAAGTTCTACAAGTTTCATTGAAGACCTTATTATACATACGCCTGAAAAAAATAAGTTTTTGTCTGTATTTTGTACATATTTGCCTTTCCGTCTGAATAAATATATTACCAAAAAAAATGCGTTTAACGAAGGCACCCTCATGTCCAGATTTCCACAGACTTGATTTTGTCACTGCCACCAAGATTAGTTTTTAGAATTTTTCATCACTATAGAATTATCTTCTAGAAAAAATTATTATGTATTCTCATAGAGCTTGAAATGCTCTATCACCTTGTCTATTTTTTTTATTTCCTTATATTAATTTATCGAAAAGAAAATTTGACTACAATGAAAGCATCGTCCATTAACAAGTACGAACAATGGGCGTTTCCTGTTGCTTGTAGAGTTTCATCTTTAAATTTATTATTCTTATGAAGAAGTTTATTTTTGAAAAGCAATCATAGATTCTTCTAGAGCTTAAAATTCTCTATCATCCTGTACATTTATATTAACTCTTTTGCATTTATGTGCTAGAGAATAATTCGAGTCTTACATTGACATGCTCCTTAGCAAGGTCTAGAAGGAAGCAACTTTTTTACTACATATCTCGTTTTGTGTTTCAAAAGTACACGACGATAGAGAATTTCAAGCTCTCTCAGAATATCTAATTTCTTGCTTCAAAAGTTATTCTTTTATTAACAATAAAGTTGGAATGAAAAGAAACATATTACTAAAAAATAATTCAGTTGGGGGTGTAAAAAAAGAGAGCACCCACACCCACACCTCAAGATTGATGATGAGTGATATAGCCGTGCATTTCAATTTATTTCCAACCATAATCTCGTCTAATTGGCACCTAATTGGCTCGAATAGTTTGTATATTGTTCTCTCTTTTTTTCCATTTACTATTCTTGATGATGAAACATAATACGAGTCAAACAAGTGAATAGAAAAATAATGTAGTTTTTGCTGTAAATCAACAATGATATTCGTATGAAACTTAGGATCATTAATTCCCATTTATCTTCATTTCTCTTTGAACTGAATAATCTACCTATGCTCATTCATCAAGTTACTT